CCTACATACCGGCAATGTCACTACCTCCCTTCACAACCAGTCGCACCCTGAACCCCACAAGAATTTGAACACCATTCTAAGAATACTCGTGATCACCGTTCCTGTTAACGGCAACACTGCCGAAACAAACCTGACTTTACTATATAGTAATACATTGATGACAATTGCTCGTTGCCTAAGGGTTAAATGGCGAGGTAGCAGTATTCCCAAACATTGCTTCACCTGTTCCACCATCCTATTCGAATTTTTCACCCTTGCAGCACTCAGGTCAGCCTCATATATGACACCACAGATTTTCCGACTCCCAGTCTGATGCTGCACGACATCACATCCCCATTCCAATCTCCCTGCCCACTCTCTCAGCCCCATTATCATTGACTTTCATCCCAGTAGTTCTCCCAAACATATGTACAACTTCCCCCAAAACTCCTGACCGTGTCTCCTCACACACCAGAGTAGCTGTATTGCCACCATAACCCACCAAGCCAGGCCAAGGCTTCTGCACACCATCCCTCCCCCATTCCTTAGACGATCCTCCACCATCCTATAAAAAGGATCCTGAACACATGCAAACAATAGTTGTGATATTGGACAACCCTGCCGAAGACCCCACTCCATGGTGACTCCCTCCCACACACACCCATTGATTTGCACTCTTACTTTCGCTCCTAAGTACAACATATCCACCCACCCAACTGTTTCTTCGCCAAACCCCTGTCTGATGAGAATATCCTGCAAAGTCCCTCTTTCCACCCTGCCATAAGCCCCTTGCCAATCCAATGCCAACAACACCCCTCTTCCCCCTTCCATGTCCTCCAGGAACCCCTTTATGATCCCGTGGCCCTCGACCATTGACCTACCTGGCAACCCAAACTGAGACTTAAACACCACCCTCCCCACAACACATTTAAGCCTATTCCCAAGAATTTTTGCGAACAGCTTATAATCAGCACAAAGCAACAAAATGGCACGGTAATCCCAAAGGGTACTCTGCTTTTTACTCTTTGGGACCAACGCCACCACCGCCGTTGCCTGCGATTCTCCCATCTTACCTCTGTCTTTCACAGTATTCATTAACCTTACTAGGAAACCCCCTTAGCAGACCCCAGTGTTGTACATAAAATTAGCTTGGTAAACCATCTATCCCGGGCACCTTTCCCTTCCTCATGTCCATAAGGGCTCTCCATATTTCCTCCTCCTCAATAACCCCACCCAGTGCCTCCCGATCACTCCTCCCCAGTTTGCACGGCACATGCTCACATACCTGCCCGAGAACCTCACCATCCATCCACTACTTTCTCCATACTTCTCAAACCATCTATCTGCATATGCACTCATTCCCGTTGCTTCTCGTAATACCTGACCCTCTCGAAAACCCCCCACCAAAGAAATGACTTGCAATCCCAGTTTTGCAGTCATTTGCTGTCGTACCTTCTGTCCTTGCAGCGTGCAAGCCGATGGCTTGTCGCCCCAGAGTACTTCATCCAACCTCGCTTGTACCCGTACCACTGCAAAACACTCTTCTTGCAAATCCCTTATCCTGTCCTTCAACATTTGTATTTCCTCCATGGGGTAAACCCCCGCCACTGCCCCCCATGTAATAATCCTGTAATCTAGATTTTAAATAATTTGACAATCCTATCCGCAATTGATTAATGCGTTTGCCCTCCCTCACATAAAATTTACGTATTCTTACCTTAGCCACACTATCCCACCATCTTTCCACATCCTCCTCAGTCCTTCTCTCCACACAGAGCTGTTCCCAAAATACTGCAAAACCTTCCACTCCCTCCCCATCCCCCAAAACCATCGTATTCAGTTTCCAATAACTTCCCTGCCTACGAGCCAAAGCTTTCCACCCCACCTCTACTATTACCGCCCTATGATCAGAAGACACCATCTCAATAGTTTTAAAAGACTCTACCAAAACCCTCTGAGATAAATATATCCTGTCCAAATGAGCCACGTATCCCCGCCTTATAAAAGTATGTTCCACCTCCCACGTACCTCCCCCAAAAGCATCTCATAACTGAAAATCTCTAAACAGGCTCCCTAAGACTGAAGAAAAATATCCCGCTCCTCTGGGTTCCACGTCTGCCCTCTTAACTACACAATTCCAATATCCCCCCCACAATCGCCACAGACGGTAACGTGCGTAGGAAGTACACAAGTTCCTTCCGCTCAAAATCCATCTTTACCTTCACTTCATTTTCTGCCAGGGCATGCACACACACAAACGCCACTCTATCTCCCATCCACCATCCTTCCACACGTAATACTCTCCCCCTCCCCCCCTCTTTCCTGTGCAATACAAATGGACTCGCCTCCCTGATCAACACACCCACTCCTCCTTTTAAACACTCAGATGGCAACACATAAGCCTGGTACCCAGACACCACTAGTTCACGACCAAGTTTAAAACTGTGTTCCTGCACAAAAGCCATGTCAGCCTTATATCTATTCAAAAACATCCGGAAGTACTCACGTTTTACACCATCACACAGACCATTAATATTTATTGTTACACACCTGAGGCCGGTTTAAGGTTTCCCTCCCCGCCTCATTTCAATACTCTTCCCTTTCTGACCATTCACCTGGGCATTGCCTTTGCCACGTACTCCACCCTCCTTCCCAACCATCCCCCCCTTCTGTTATGGCCCTCTCTTAGAGTCACTCTGGGTACCATAACTCCATGCCTTTTTCCCTGGCCTTTGCGCCGGCGTCAGAACATCATCCGAATCTGACGCCGCTGCCCTTTTCCTCGTTGCTCCCTCTATCTCCTTATCTGTGTCCTGGAAGTCCTCACAATGGACTTCCACCTCTACCACCCTGAATTCGCCTCCATGTCCTTCCATGGCAATCGCACTGTCCATCACAGGTGCCACCTGGTCCTCCCTCCTCCTGCACACACCTCCTTCCGCCCCGATCCCAGGTTCCTGCTCACTGCGACTCTCCACCTCCGTAGACTGTAACATAGCCTGTGACACCGTCGCCAACTCCTCCTTGATAGCTTTCACTTCTGCACCCACTTGCACCTCCTCACTCGACAACTGTACTGTCAATGGGCTGGGTGATTCATGAATCTCCACGTCCCCTTCTGATACCACAGGAGGAGCCACCACCTCTTCACTCCTCATGCGACCATGCCCTCCTCCTTGCCTCCGTTCCTCCTCAGGCATCATTTTCTCATGCGCAGGTGCTCCTCCTATTGCCGGCCCAGTTCTGCTTGCCACAATCTGCCGCCATATGGTCATATTCGCCAAAGAGATGGCACGTATGCCTCTGCCTGGCATACGCCACAATTACCTGGGTTTTAAACCCCTCGAGATCTACATATGAGGGTATAGGATGTCTCACCGTCATCTTAAGACTGAAAGTACCCCCCGGAAATCCAGCATAAGCTCCTTTTACCCATTTTCTAGGTTGGGCTAGATGTACAGCCCCATATCTTTTGAAAATACTTCTGATATCCGCTTCATCAGCCTCAAAAGGCACGTTACAGAGCTTGACCCACGATTAATGTCTTGATACATCCGTCAACCTGACCCTCACTGCCAATGTTACGTTAATGCTGACATCTTGGTAACGATCCATCAACGACTCATACACTTGAGCTGTTAGCACTTTCACGAATATTCTATAAACACCATTTAGTGCCACGCCATATAAATCCTCAACTCTGATGCCGTATGTCTCTCTTATAATTTTGGGCAATAACACCTCGGCTGACGTAGGCTGAATGCCCACAGTATTCACTCTCCAGCGCACACCTAGCGCCATATTGTTTGCTGAGTAGCATGTCTGGGTAAACAGTAGAGGGGTGCAAAGCACGACCGCACTCTACCTCATCCAGGCAGCGAATGACCCAATCACTACCAGTTTCTCAGTGGCTACTCATATGTTTGTAGATGAATGTATTCTATTCAAGATTGATGGACTGAACACATCGACTCAAGGTTGAGGGACTGATTACCTCATTCCCCTCTTGTTCTTCAAGTTTCTCCTACGTATGGACTGATGAAGCCACTGTGTGGTGAAACGTTTCCTCAATAAAGATACCCAAGAGTTGCACATGTGTCTAATTTATCGGCTACTCATATTGTGCTGATGAATGCTCAATCACTTACTACTTCGAAATTAGGATGTCTATTTTCCCATTGTTTTAAATAGTAGTAGATTGTAATACAGTGCATCATAATGTAAATTATATCATTGTAATACCAAATTTCATTGTTTTAAACAGTACTAAACTGTAATACATCATATTGTAAATTGTTTTAAATTGTTAAATTGTAATACTGTAATCTTTATTAACTAATTCAGTAGTGTAATAAGTCTCTACTAGACTTATCAAAACCATGTAGCATTACCTGATAGAATATACAATTCTACTGTACTCATTGTAACTCATGTAATGACCATGTGAACTAATCTTAAGTCAATCTCTAAGCTTGCCTGAAATGCTCTGCATGCAAAAGGGCTTTTGGCATGTACACCCAACTACTATATCCCTCTGTACAACCATGTAATTTGTCAAAATAAACATCTTTATCATTATCATTGGTTTGGACTTTTTGTGTCCCGTAGCTCGATCGCTAGCGCACTCGGCTCACACACCGAGGTCCGGGGTTCGAATCCCCTCCAGTACGGCTGGAAAACATTAAGGACGTGTTTCGTAAGACACCTTCTGTCCCTCTCACTGTTCACCCATCAGTTTAAAATGGGTACGTGGGTGTTAGTCGACTGGTGTGAGTCGCTTGTTGTTGTTGATTCGCCGGTATTCTCCTGGCCCGGGCCTTTTCCAAGTGGTGGCTCGGCCTTGGCTCCCTATCGAGGGAAGTGTCTGAGACCTAGTCTGCCATGGGAGGAGGTACAAGTACTCCCTCATCGTTGGGACCAACTGTCCCCAGCCCTAGCCACATTACCCGCCCACACGGGGCTGGTAGGGAGAAGCTAGGTCTCTCTGGTTTGTCATCCCTGCCTCAAGGGTGCTAATGAAAATGACCGTCTTGCGAGCTGCAAGCTCTAGCTCAGGCACCTACCCTGCCTTAGAAGGGCTGGCCATGGTGTCAATCGGTGTGAGTCGCATCCTGGGACAAAACTAACCTAATTTGCCCGAAATGTTCAGTATAACAAGGGGCTTTCTATATAGTGGTACGTTATTGATGTCAGCTAGGCCTGTATACCATGTACATGTACTTGTAGTAAATAAAGATATTATTAGCATCATCATTCCACCAATCGCTCCTCTTCCCTCCTGCACCCACTTTCCTGTAGCCACAAACTTCTGCTGAACACTCTAACATTACATTTTTAAACCTGCCCCATACCTCTTCGACCCCATTGCTTATGTTAGGTAAGACACATATGCAACAGTTAGACAACTTTATTCCGAAACGTTTCGCCTACACAGTAGGCTTCTTCAGTCGAATACAGAAAATAGGCAGGAACAGTAGAGATGTGAAGACGATGTAATCAGTCCATCACCCTTGTAGTCGTAGAATTTGAGGTTGTCAGTCCCTCGGCCTGGAGAAGTTCAGTTCCATAGTCAGGAACTATAGTTTCGGAATAAAGGTGTCTAACTGTTGCATATGTGTCTTACCTAACAACCTGTCGGTATTGTATACCATTTTGATGTTCACCCCATTGCCTATGCTCTCATTAGCCCATCTATCCTCCAATAGCTGTTTATATCTTACCCTAACTGCCTCCTCTTTTAGTTTATAAACCTTCACCTCTCTCTTCCCTGATGCTTCTATTCTCCTTGTATTCCATCTACCTTTTACTCTCAGTGTAGCTACAACTAAAAAGTGATCTGATATATCTGTGGCCCCTCTATAAACATGTACATCCTGAAGTCTACTTAACAGTCTTTTATCTACCAATGCATAATCCAACAAACTACTGTCATTTCGCCCTACATCATATCTTGTATACTTATTTATCCTCTTTTTCTTAAAATATGTATTACCTACAACTAAACCCCTTTCTTTACAAAGTTCAATCTAAGGGCTCCCATTATCATTTACACCTGGCACCCCAAACTTACCTACCACACCCTCTCTAAACGTTTCTCCTACTTTAGCATTCATGTCCCCTACCACAATTTCTCTCTCACTGGGTTCAAAGGTTCCTATACATTCACGTAAAATCTCCCAAAATCTCTCTCTCTCCTCTACATTCCTCTCTTCTCCAGGTGCATACACGCTTATTATGACCCACTTTCGCATCCAACCTTTACTTTAATCCACATAATCCTTGAGTTTACACATTCACATTCTCTTTTCTCCTTCCATAACTGATCCTTCAACAGTATTGTTATCCCTTCCTTGGCTCTATCTCTCTCAGATACTGCAGATTTAATCCCATTTATTTCTCCCCACCGAAACTCCCCTACCCCCTTCAGCTTTGTTTTGCTTAGGGCCAGGACATTCAACTTCTTTTCATTCATAACATAAGCAATCATCTGTTTCTTGTCATCCGCACTACATCCACGCACATTCAAGCATCCCAGTTTTATAAAGTTTTTCTTCTTCTCTTTTTTAGTAAATGTTTACAGGAGATGGGGTTACTAGCCCATTGCTCCCAGCATTTTAGTCGCCTCATGCGACACGCATGGCTTACGGAGGAAAGATTGTTTTCCACTTCCCCATGGACAACAGAAGAAATAAAGAAGAACAAGAGCTATTTAGAAAAAGGAGAAAAACCTAGATGTATGTATATATATATATATATATATATATATATATATATATATATATATATATATATATATATATATATATATGCATGAGCGTGTCTGTGAAGTGTGGCCAAAGTGTAAGTAGGAGTAGCACGATATCCCTGTTATCTAGTGTGTTTATGAGGCAGAAAAAGACACCAGCAATCCTACCATCAATCATGTAAAACAGTTACAGGTTTCTGTTTCACAGTCATCTGGCAGGACGGTAGTACTTCCCTGGGTGGTTGCTGTCTACCAACCTACTACATATGAGAAGTTTTTACAAAGTAGAAGTGATGCAAGGAGGGAAGAGTATATGGAGAAAAAGAGAGAGGTTAAGAGAGTGGTGTAGCACTGTAAAAGAGAGCAAATGAGAGAGTGGGTGAGATGTTATCAACAAATTTTGTTGAAAATAAGAAAAAATTTTGGAGTGAGATTAACAAGTTAAGTAAGTCTAGATAACAAATGGATTTGACAGTTAAAAGTAGGAGAGGAGAGTTATTAAATGGAGAGTTAGAGGTACTGGGAAGATGGAGGGAATATTTTGAGGAATTGTTAAATGTTGATGAAGACAGGGAAGCTGTGATTTCGTGTATAGGACAAGGAGGAATAACATCTTGTAGAAGTGAGGAAGAGCCAGTTGTGAGTGTGGGGGAAGTTCGTGAGGCAGTAGGTAAAATGAAAGGGAGTAAGGCAGCCGGGATTGATTGGATAAAGAGAGAAATGTTAAAAGCAGGTGGGGATGTAGTTTTGGAGTGGTTGGTGCTAGTATTTAATAAATGTATGGAAGAGGGTAAGGTACCTAGGGATTGGCAGAGAGCATGCATAGTTCCTTTGTATAAAGGCAAAGGGGACAAAAGAGAGTGCAAAAATTATAGGGGGATAAGTCTGTTGAGTATACCTGGTAAAGTGTATGGTAGAGTTATTATTGAAAGAATTAAGAGTAAGATGGAGAATAGGATAGCAGATGAACAAGGAGGCTTTAGGAAAGGTAGGGGGTATGTGGACCAGGTGTTTACAGTGAAACATATAAGTGAACAGTATTTAGATAGGGCTAAAGAGGTTTTTGTGGCATTTATGGATTTAGAAAAGGCGTATGACAAGGTGGATAGGGGGGCAATGTGGCAGATGTTGCAGGTGTATGGTATAGGAGGTAGGTTACTGAAAGCAGTGAAGAGTTTTTACAAGGATAGTGAGGCTCAAGTTAGAGTATGTAGGAAAGAGGGAGATAATTTCCCAGTAAAAGAAGGCCTTAGACAAGGATATGTGATGTCACCGTGGTTGTTTAATGTATTTATAGATGGGGTTGTAAGAGAAGTAAATGAGAGGGTCTTGGCAAGAGGCGTGGAGTTCAAAGATAAAGAATCACACATAAAGTGGGAGTTGTCAGAGTTGCTCTTTGCTGTTGAGACTGTGCTCTTGGGAGATTCTGAAGAGAAGTTGCAGAGGTTGGTGGATGAATTTGGTAGGGTATGTAAAAGAAGAAAATTAAAAGTGAATACAGGAAAGAATAAGGTTATGAGGATAACTAAAAGATTAGGTGATGAAAGATTGGATATCAGATTGGAGGGAGAGAGTATGGAAGAGGTGAATGTATTCAGATATTTGGGAGTGGATGTGTCAGCGGATGGATCTATGAAAGATGAGGTGAATCATAGAATTGATGAAGGGAAAAGGGTGAGCGGTGCACTTAGGAGTCTGTGGAGACAAAGAACTTTGTCCTTGGAGGCAAAGAGGGGAATGTATGAGAGTATAGTTTTACCAACGCTCTTATATGGGTGTGAAGCATGGGTGATGAATGTTGCAGCGAGGAGAAGGCTGGAGGCAGTGGAGATGTCATGTCTGAGGGCAATGTGTGGTGTGAATATAATGCAGAGAATTCGTAGTTTGAAAGTTAGGAGGAGGTGCGGGATTGCCAAAACTGTTGTCCAGAGGGCTGAGGAAGGGTTGTTGAGGTGGTTCGGACATGTAGAGAGAATGGAGCGAAAAAGAATGACTTCAAGAGTGTATCAGTCTGTAGTGGAAGGAAGGCGGGGTAGGGGTCGGCCTAGGAAAGGTTGGAGGGAGGGGGTAAAGGAAGTTTTGTGTGCGAGGGGCTTGGACTTCCAGCGGGCATGCGTGAGCGTGTTTGATAGGAGTGAATGGAGACAAACGGTTTTTAATACTTGACGTGCTGTTGGAGCGTGAGCAAAGTAACATTTATGAAGGGATTCAGGGAAACCGGCAGGCCGGACTTGAGTCCTGGAGGTGGGAAGTACAGTGCCTGCACTCTGAAGGAGGGGTGTTAATGTTCCAGTTTAAAAACTGTAGTGTAAAGCACCCTTCTGGCAAGACAGTGATGGAGTGAATGATGGTGAAAGTTTTTCTTTTTCGGGCCACCCTGCCTTTGTAGGAATTGGCCAGTGTGTTGATAAAATAATAAAATACTATTATTATTATTATTATTATTATTATTATTATTATTATTATTATTATTATTATTATTATTATTATTATTATTATTGTTGTTGTTGTTGTTGTTGTTGTTGTTCTTGTTGTTCTTGTTGTTCTTGTTGTTGTTGTTGTTGTTGTTGTTGTTGTTGTTTTTGTTGTTGTTGTTGTTATTATTATTATTATTATTATTATTATTATAAAACCCCTCTAAAAATACATAAGATACTCAATAAACATTCCTACGTTTTCTATAGCTGGCCAGTGCTGACCTCAACTTTCGCAGAAAACTTGAAAATAATCAACACTAAACGCTAACTATGACAGTTTTGAAGTCTTGTTCCAGCGATGGCAGAGAGGAAGAAATAGCGTCTGCCAGATAAAGCCGATCAATAGATGTCAACAAAACACTTTCAGCAGCCAGAAGTCTGCCAAAGACAGACTCTTGATCAACAATACATGCCACAGGGAGTAAGTTTATTTAGGTACAGGTACACGTTAATACATGTCACTACCGCCCGGCTCCGGCTGGGCTATAAATAAGAATCATTGGCAGGTTAAATAACCACACCAGATGTAGACCAAACGAAATGTAAACTTTGCCAGATGGACTATTGTCACACCCTGCGTCACTATGTATTGAAATCCGATAAAATTAATGAATTCAGAGGCAACTCACTCAGAAATGCTCAAGATAGTATGTCAAAATATTTTATCCACAGTGGAAAAATACCATGACTTTGCTCCCTGTAAATAAAGCATTACCACATGTGTGTGTGTGTGTGTGTGTGTGTGTGTGTACTCACCTAGTTATAATCACCTAGTTGTGGTTGCGGGGGACGATTCACAACTCCTGACCCCGCCACTTCAACTGCCAACTGCCCGCTACTCAGTCACTCTTCTCTCTCCGTGAGCTTTATCATACCT